AACCTAATGAACAAAATAAACTGACGAATAAAATAGAACCAGAGGCATGGAAACATGGAACAGACTGACCAATGTCAGAGGGAAGGGGGGAGGGGGCAGGAAGAGATTAACCAAAGAACTTGTATGCATATATGCATAACCCAGGGACACAGACAATAGGGTGGTGAAGGTCTGGGGAGGCAGTAACCATGTAGATGGGGGGAAATGGGGGGAAAAAAGAGGGGATATCTGTAATACTCTCAACAATAAAGATTAAAAATTAAATAAATAAAAAGTAATCAATGTTGAATATTCAGGTATCTTCTTATTAAAACATTCTTCTCTATCTTGCTCTTACATTTACTCAGTCAGTAATTCAATTTCAGATGTTTATTAAGCACCTACTATGTGCCAGGCAATATACTCAACCCAAGTGTCATGGTCTCTTTCTTAAGAATAGTTTAAGCCAGGGTCTTAAAATTAACTCTGGGGGGTTGTACTAACACTGTGTGTTCAACACTTAGGGTGAGTAGGAGAGAAATACCATCTTATATTTAGACAAGTGATGTATTTATTTTACAAAGCATTTTAAAATCCTTTGATTAGGACCTCACTTTTGAGTAAGTAGGGTCACGCCCATTCCCATTCCAGGGGACTATGGGAGGCAATCTAGTTCTAAAACTGAGGTGTGTTTTCTCTGAAGCAAGCACTTACATTCACCAGCCCCTGTGCTCCCTTTGAAACGGTGATGGGTGACAGATGGCATCGGTGCCACTCAAAGGACGCAGGGGGCACTCAGCCATCTCTCTGCATTTCTATCGCTTTGTGGACTCATTTCCCTCCTTTCCCTTCTTTCCCTCCCCCACTTGTTACTTTCCCCTTCCTTTCCCCTTTCCCTCTTTCTGATGACTTTATCACCCATAGATACAGACCTTAAGCATTGCTTAGCTGGTGAAACTTAGCACTAAAAACCTTTACTTCCTTTGCTCCTAGGCTGGAACAAACCCAAACTCCAGAATGTGACATGGGGGAGGGGAGGCACAGGACTGGCCCAGACTGTGTTCCTTGGGTATTGACAACTCTATTCTACACCAGAGCCCAGGAGGTAAACCAGCAGCTGAGCCTGGGTCATAAACAAGGTTTAAGCAAGAACCACTTAAAAGATACAATCAGCTGTGTGCAGGTCGGACAAGGGTCTGGAAATGGAGCCTGGGCTTTCGGTGGAGGGTTTCACACTATTGCAAGGTCAGGAAACAGGAGCAGAAAGGCAATGCTTGCTTTCCACCCAACACACGCAGGAAAGCCCCCTTATCCCAGCATCCGTTTCCCCAAACCCTGCCTCGGAAGCAGTGATTCTTGACTGGCCCAGATTTATTGGAGCAGAAAAGAAAAAGAAGCAGCAGATCCTAAATGCCAAGGTGAGGAGGAGTGTGTCCTGCCCAGAAAGGGAACCAAGAATGTTCTCTGGGGTACAGCACGTGACTGGGATCCTCAGGGACCAGGAGCCAGTTCAAGTGGGAGGTGTCAGGAATGCAAAGCCGGCTGTAGACTCAGCACAATAAAAATGTCAAGAATGAGGCAGGGAATAACGTGAGGAGAAGAGCGCCTTCTGTTTTGTGGGAGGCAGGTTATGAAATGCGACAAGCGCACGTTTGCTTTCATGTGTCTGCTTGGTTGCAAGTCCAGCCTGCTGTCTGCTGGAACTCAGGAGCACTGATGGGAGAGTGACATCTGGGAACCTGTTCCCACCCCGGGGAGCTCTGCCTCTTCCTTCCCAGGCCCCGGACATTCTCCTGCAGCTGCAATAAGAGGAAGGTAGGGAGCCGCCGAGCCAGGCCTGCCCAGTGACTGAGCATTTATGGTGCTGCTTGCCGGGCCTGAAAGGTAGTGAGGAGTGGATGAGGCTGTACCTTCTCAGAATCCATGTGGTTGGCAAAACAGAAGACAGAACACCAAGAAAACACCAGGCTTACTTCAACTAGGCATCATTTGTAAAGACACCTAGCTCAGCCCTGCTGAGCTACACAGCCTTGCCTGGCCATATGAGCAAGTACAAACAGCACTACAGCCCCCCAGGCCCCAGCCTCTCCAACGCAAACCCACGCCAGGGTCCCACTCCTGCCGGCTGGGAGGACTAGGACTTGCCTTCGCTGTTTCACATCAGCCTAGCTGAAGCGTGGTGTCATGGAAGAAACTGGAGCTGATGTCAGGAACTTGAGCTTTCTCGTCTCCAGTCCACCAGTAATTTACTTAGTTGACTGTAAGGATGTTAACTAAACTTTCCGGATCTGACTTTCCCCATTGGGATAATCAGAGGAATACATGCCCTATGGACCTCCAAGAGAGTGGTGGGGCTCTTAGGAGTGATTCAAAGGTAAGAGATGCTCGTTGCTCAGCCTGGGCCTATGGGTCGGGGTCTTGCTGGCTGACCTCTCAAGGCCTCTCTTGCCCTCACTCCCAAGTGCAGCACTCTGTCCTGGGAGGGCAGAGTATAATCTGGTCTGGAGGAACCTCAGTGGTTGTCCAGGAAGAACAAGTCTAGGGCCAGGCCCCTCCCAGGGGGCACACAGACGGACCTCTGAGGACAAGCAAGCAGGCCTGCTTGCTGCCTGTGGGGTGCCTGGCCCCTCCTGTGTCTTCATTTAGAAAATTCCTAAATCTCTATACAAAGTGGCGGACGGAGCAATGCAAAACCCCCTCAAAACATGAATAGGGGCCAGTGAGAATGCCTCTGTGATGCCAACAGAGAAGCAACTGTCAGTTGGACCCAGCCCTACAGCTAAACTGCAGAGCAGGCATGGGTCACCCAGGGAGGCTGCCCGAAAGGGGGAACTCGATGCCCTAAGGTTGGAAACATTAATAATCCTGGAAAAGAATGCAGGATTTATTGCACAATCAGATACTGTTGATAATATAATGCTTGAGTCTGTAAAAAATGGTAATACCCATTGTATTATTCACTGTGGCCCAGCCAGGCCCTTGGGGAGTGATGGTGCAGGAAGGGGATGCTGAGCCCTTAGCCCAGGCTCCGAGAGAAAAGCTCTATCATCATCCAGTTAAAACAATGAAAGCAAACCGACTCTGTAACAAACGGTGGTGGTGGGGGAGAGACTGGAAAGAGACTAAACAGTTCCCAGAATAAATTCCCATGTAAATCCGGAGAATGCTGGTGGAGAGAAGCCACCGCTCATTCTTTCTTTTAAGCCAGATAATACCCTCCTGCCGGAACAGAGTTGTTCTTGGCACTGGGACCCACACGTGAGGAAGGAATCAATCAAAACCCCGTGCCTGAGGAAGGATCCATCAGAGAGCTGAAGGCGGGGACACGTGGGAAACAACAAAGAAAGCACGTTGGTGGCAGGAACAAAGATTAACTGTCCCACAGGAGCTGGTCCAGCTTCGCAGGCCCTCGGATGTGCATCTACAGACACACTTAGGCCCTTCACCTCCGCACTAAGGGCTCAGAGGCAGGTGCCTGCCCAGCCATGGTGGCCCCAGGCCAGGCTTCTGGAAGCTGAGCCCCCATCTCCTGCTGACTTGTGCACCAATTCTGGAAGGACATTCCATGAACACATCAGTGAGGATTCATCTCGTGACTCAAAGGATCCACACAGAAAGTAGTGAAACCAGGCAGGGAGAGTCTTCTCTTCCCTTATCTTCAATTACACCGGAACTGCCTCTGGGGGACTTTGGCAAGTTGGACGAATGTCAGAAGAATTTGGAAGAATGTCTTTGCTGGCAGAGGGAAGTCCATGATTAGCCATGAGCATGCCACCATCGTTCTTTGTGCTAAAACTCTAGAGGGCAGGCAGAAACGCCTTTCCACTCTTTTCACATCTAATCTCCTAGTGCTGATGTGCAGAGTCCTCAAGTCAGTAGCATTTGAGCAAAGATGAAATTCTCTCCTGTGACAAAAACAAATCCATCACAAACACCATACACCCCAGCTAAAGGCATCACGTTGTCTAAACGAATCAGCAGGCAGCGGCAGCCCGACTTGAAATCCTTGACTCATGGAACACTCATCTCCACTAATACCCACTGCTTATGCAAGCGCCTTTCTCCGGGTGACTCGAGGCAGTTTAAAGCCGCTGGCTCAGTCCTCATCATAGAGCACTTGCTGTGGAAATAGGAGGGCTACGCATAATTGTCTGCATGTGATATGAGGAAACTAAGGCTCAAACAAGCCCTAAGACAAAATGTGTAGATATTTATGAGTCACACACTGTCCATGGTAGAGCCAAAATGAGCTATTCTGAATTTTAAGCAGACTATTTTCCAAAATGCAAACTCAATGAATTTTATGTTTAATAACCAATTTTCCTCCCTTCATTCCATCTCTGACTTTTGCTCCATCACTCTTGCCATTTCATTGGCCCTTTTGTTGATTTTAGAGGCCCCTCAACCTTCCTCTAGTCCAGTGATGGCGAACCTTTTGAGCTCGGCGTGTCAGCATTTTGAAAAACCCTAACTTAACTCTGGTGCCGTGTCACATATAGAAATTTTTTGATATTTGCAACCATACTAAAACAAAGACTTATATTTTTGATATTTATTTTATATATTTAAATGCCATTTAACAAAGAAAAATCAACCAAAAAAAATGAGTTCACATGTCACCTCTGACATGCGTATCATAGGTTCGCCATCACTGCTCTAGTCTGTACCCACTCCCAGTTCTGACAGTCACTTTATTCTTGACATTTGATCTATTATTGTCTATTACACAATCCTGATATCTCTCCCATTTTGAGCCTCTACTTCACCTTTCCCTTACCTGACCACAATCCATACACCTTGATGCCCAGGGGTAGGACTGGCAATAGGGTGAAGATAGGGGCTGTGGTAAAGCTCAAAGATGGAGTATAAAATGCCCATTTTACTCATCATTTATTTTTTAAAAGCTGAGCATTTACTAGTATTGGCTGAATTTTTTTCAGGCCAAATCAAAATATCCTCATGACAAAATAGCTGCACTAAAGTGACTCTATTAAAATAGCTGCATCCAATGAACTGAGAATCTAGATGTCACTTGCTTCTGGCACCTGACTTTGGTCCTCTGTCACTTGACCTTGCCTTCTGTTCTGCTGTATTCTGGTATGTGGTTAATCAGAAGAGGAGCTAGCCACCAGGGCCATTTTTTATCTTGTTCCAAGTGAGGACTCTGTAGGTGTTTCAGATGAAACTGGTGCAGAAGCTGAGAAGGATGCTCATGGCACGGCCATGTGTTTCCACCGCCCTGTGAGGCACCGGGCTGGCATCCGTCCTCTCCCCAGCCTCCTTCCTGCCCCCATCCACCCACGAACTCTTGTTGGGTCACAAATGCAAATCTTTGGTTGTGCCAGACAGCCAGAAGATGCTGGAAAAAAAGAAAGCAAAAGCAAAAGCAGATTTCTAAATTAAGCACATCTCATTTATAAAAATAAATAGCCACAGCCTAGCAACGTGCTCAGCTTCCCTCTGTGATGTAACCTCTGCGGCTGGAGCCGGGAATGACACAGCCTTTAGAGAACCCCACGCCCTGGGCCCTCCCCATGTGTAGTACTCCTCTGGAGGGTGCTGACAGTGCGCTTTGAGGGCCCAGCTCCTCATTCCAGGCCAAACCAGGGCCAGTCTCCGAAGAAGCAGAAAGGAACCAGAGCTTCCCAAACTTAATGAGGCCCCTAAACACCTACAGGCTCATGGCAGCAAGTAACACACCTGAAGCAAAAGCAGATGAAGTTCTTTGGGATGCTCTATTGAAACAGAATCCCCTCTTTGAGACCATGTCTTCTGTGTTTACTACCGAATGCCCAGTACCCAGCTTAGCACATGGCAGACACTGGACACTCAGTAACTAGGTAACAGAAGACTGGATGGAGATATGAATGACTGAATAGACAGAGGTTGTCATCCCATCACCACTGCTTCCTAAACTCTATCCCTTAAATGGAGTAAACTCCAAGATCTAAAGAGAAGTGTAATCTCCTGATTATGACATTCACCACAAAGGCAATGTGTCCCTGGACTTGACGTTTACATTTTAAGTGTTAACTGGGGTAAGCACCTGGGAGGTTACTACAAAGTGTGGACTTATGTAACCCAGGTGCAGGTGATGTGGCCAGCATACCCGGGAGTAGCAGACGACATGGGATGTGCATTTGGAAACAGTTGTCAGTGCTCCTGAACGTCTCTCATTCTTTAGGCAGCTTCAGCTCCAAGGGTGAGGTGTTACTAAGCCAAGAAGCTACAGGACAAAATAGTACATGAGCTTCTGGTCTTAGTCTTGTCAGAAAATAAAACATGGCATCCACAATGCCTCCGGAGCTAAACAGGTCACACACATCAGAAATGGATCACAGTCCGGAAGACTTAATCCCACCTCCAATCCTCCCACATTGGGCATGATTAAGTCAGTCCAGAGTGATCCCGACACAGCACTCAGAGTACTGAAAATGAAATAATCCTCTGAGCCCCAAGAGGATCCCGGTGAGGTTGCAGGGGCAATCTTGACTCCTGGGAGCATTTGCTTCTGAGAGGTCCCACGTATTCCCAGCAACCAGAGTGGTGGAAGACAGCATGACAAAGTCGTAAATCACCTCTCAGAGCAGAGGCCCTGGGTTTAAAAGATCAGAGAAATTGGCCCACAACTCAGAAATCTGTCTTCAGACATCCTTATCTGACCTGGCCAGAAACAGTAAAACCTCATCCATGTCAGGGAGAAAAAAGCTCCTAATTACATTCAGATGTACCAGAATACATTAAGGGTTTATAATCCTATATAATAAAGAGGTAATATGCTAATTGACCATCATAACGTTACAAGATGGCAGCGCTCAGTCCCCTCAGCCCTGCCAGGGGGTGAGGAGAGAGGAGGTGGCAGGTGTGCAGCCAGGCCTGCCCCCAGGGGTGCCCGGTCACACCACACACCTGCCGCTGAAGTCCCCCAGTCCCCTTAGCCCCGCCGGCAGTGAATTTTCATGCGACCATTATCTTTTTAAAAACTCCTTACCCAAGGATATGATTATTTCTTTTAGATCATCTGTTCTCGGGGAGCAGGCCTAAGCCAGCAGGTGGGCATCCCCCAAGGGTCCCAGACTGTGAGAGGGTGCAGGCAGGGCTGAGGGACCCCCCCATGTGCATGAATTTTCATGCACCAGGCCTCTTGTACTTTATAATGGACAAAAAATATCTAAAGAGCATCAAAAGATACAATAGCCCTGGCCGGTGTTGCTCGGTGATTAGAGCATCAGCTTGCACACTGAAGGGTCTCAGGTTCAATTCCCAGTCAAGGATACATACCTGGGTTGCAGTTTCAGCTTGATCCCTGGCCTGGGTCGGGACATGTTTCTCTCTGTCACTCTCTCTTTAAAAATCAATGGAAAAAAATACCCTCAGGTGAGGATTAACAAAACAAAAAAAAGTGATACAATAGTCTCCAGCTTTACATAACAGCACATAACAGAGAATCCTGAGTCCTCGCAGACTCCTAGATAATCTCAGTCCCACAGCCTCCCAGACAAAGCTTTGTCACTGGAACATTTAGGAAGAGGGACTCCACCAGTGATCTGACTGGAAGTGGAACTTCAAGGACACAGCCCCAGGAGAGGGTAGCGCACGAAGTGCTCAGTGACCCTCAAGTCTCCTTGGTGTTTCTAAGAAAAGCCCTCTCCAGAGAAGACTGGCCATGGCATTCACAACCACAGGCCTCTGCTCCAGCCGGGTGAGGGGACAGTGTGTTTCGTGGGTTCCTAATGCTCCATGCCCAGGGCTCCCACTTCTGAAATGGCTGCTCAGTGATAAGACTCCACTGACCCCCATTCTCTTTTAGAGGGTACAAAGATTCATGAGAACTAGGTCCAAGACTTGGCTCTGTGATCTTAATCACTGGGAAACCCAGTTCCCTCATCTATAAAATGAAAACAATAGAAGCTCTGCTGTCTGCCTCCCAAGATTGTGTGAGGAGAAAATGAAACACTAATATGTTCAAATGCTTCTCAACCGCAAGTCATTGTTCGATGTGAGACTACTGTCTAAATTCTAAAGATTTACAATGAGAAGTTTGCTTCTGCTATGGGGAGTGAGACTTCTTTGAACACTCTCAGGGTGCTGCCTGGTTCCCAGCCTTCTAGTGCTTGGCCATCCTGGTCATAATCCTAAGTTTGCAGGGATCCCTGGCCTGTTCCCTTGGCTTCACATACCAAAGACTTCTAACATGTTTGCATGTTTGTGTGTTTGTAACTGTGCAGGAAATAGACCTCTGTGACCCATCTCCAGTAGAGTTAACTTTTAATGGAAATAGTTACTGAGTTTCCCGAGGACAAATAGAATGTAGGGAGGAGGGAAGAGGATTTAAGAACAAAGAACTGTAGATATGGGCCAGCAGCACAGTGGAAACCCCTGAGCTCCTGCCTCAACTAGACAGGGGGAGGTAAAGATAACTCGAAAAAGCCTCAGTCCAATTTTTTTAAATGGCCCAATAGGAGACAATAAGACTTAGGCAACTTATGAGGAAACAGGTGACCCCATAGTACTCAGCCAATGAGGAACTGGAGGAGGGACTAGACAAATAGGCTGTGATCGCTGCCCCAGGTGTGCCTGTACAATCGGACACCCGCTCTCATACTACAAGTCTCATTTTGTCCATACTTCTGTCTCTGAGTCTATTATTTGAATTCAGACTGGTGAGCATTTCTCACAACTGCTTCTCTCTCCTTATAATCCCTCAGAAAGTTCTAGAATTCTAAAACACATGAGAGACTTTAGGGGCTCGCGTAGTTCATCCACCCCTCATTTTGTAGGTGGAGGCCCAGGGTCACGGGAAGGTTAAGAGCCTGTCCAAAATCAAGCCGACTTTCACTTGTCCTCTTTCTGGCTCCTCTCACAGCTGCCAGTGGGTCTTTGAGGGTCAAAGTTCACATGCCCCCCACTTTTGAATGAGTAACTACTACTCAAGCTAAGTGTGGTATATAAGATGTGGGGGGCAGAGAGCAGGAGCAGAGCAGCCGGTTGAGGGCAAGTAGTTATGAAGGAATGGCAGCTACAGGGACAGGTGTCTCTAGAGATCTCAATGATACTTCATCTTAGTAGAGTACATCTTTTGAATTTGCCTTTTATTTCTGAGAAATAAGTACACAGTTGGCCCTTGAACAACATAGGTTTAACTATGTGGGTCCACTTATACATTAATTTTTCAGCAAATATATACATTACTAAAAATGTATTTTCTTTATGATTTTCTTAACATTATCTTTTCTCTAGCTTACTTTATTGTAAAAATACAATATATAACACATATAACATACAGAATATGTGTTAATCAACTTTATATTATCAGGAAGTTTTCCAATCACAGCAGCTATTAGTAAAGTATTTAAAAATCAAAAGTTCTATGTGGGTTTTTTTACTGCATGGGGGATCAGTGCTTCCAACCTCCACATTGTTCAAGGGTCAACTGAATGATCACTCCACTTTTGTAGTTATTTGTATTCATTTGCACTCTCCAAGAAATGACAGATTACATCCATACAAAGCACAGATGCCCCTCACATCACTGGTGTCAGGTTGTTTTAGAAGAAAGTATGAGGGAACTAGAATTCATCAGGTGAAAATTCCTCTATCATTTGCGCACCTTCCTCTCAGCAGATGTTCTGATATCTATCCAGTAAAAACTTGAAATTATTTTGTGTGTAACCCTCCCCCAACTTCTCCAATCCATTTGAAGAATTTTTTATTGTCTGTGACAACAGCTCTACCTGTTAGCGAGGCCCAGGGGAATCAACCATCCTGATTAGCCCAGGACTGAGGGAAGTCAGAAAGAGAACTGGAATGAATGAGTGAATGAATGAATGAATGAATGAATGAATAAAATGTAATTATTTGTTTTTAATGAAAATATCTATAAATAAAGGAGAGGGGGAGAAGTAGGAGGAGGATATTTTACCATCCATATGAACAGAAGAACAGACAAATTAAATTAAAGGATCTATCTAAAGATGTAGATCTCATTCATCAAAAAGGATAAGCATGATGGTAAGTTAGGGCAATTTATATTATATAAGAAACCGATGACAGTAGTGCTTTCCAACTGTTTTAACTTCATGGCACACATTTTAAAAAATATAAGGGTGAGCAAAAGTAGGTTTACAACTGTAAGTACACAAAACAGTTTATTTTTGTATTATTATTATTATCATTAATCTACTTTTGCCCACCTCTCTATATAATATCTGCAACACAGGATCAAACTGAAGGGAGAAGAGACTTATGCCCAGAAGTGGTCGACTAAGGGACATCTGGACCACAAGAACACCTCAGTCCCCTGAGGGCTGAGAGGTCACTGGCGCACCACTGACCTCTTTGAACTATAGGATTATGGAACTCTGGCATAAAAAACATACACAGATCTAGCTTCTACTCCATTGCAATTTTGAAATCCACACTCTCCCTAGGATTCTGATGAAACTAGCAAAGCCTAGGCAGTCCAACTCCCTCTGATGAGCCAATATTTCAAAGCTTCCTCTAAGGGTGTTTCCTGCAATGGGACTGGTGTGGGTTTCTGTTTACATCCCCACTTTCTGGGCCCAGGTTTACTCTGTATGTACACAGAGTGGCAGGTTGAGCAATGACCTAATGACTTTGGGCAAGTAATCCTAGATCACATTCAGCCTGCATTCAATTGCTAACCTAAAATGAGTTTTACAAAAGCAGTAAATATATATATATATCCCAAAATTTTAAATTTCAGAAATTTAATAAATTCAGATAAAGTGGCTTTCTTGAAAAATGGGAAGACCTGGAAACTCAGGGGCACCTCCCCCCCAGCCACCCCCCCCCCACCCTACCCCCCGCCATGGTCACAATCATCTGAGACTGAGGGCCTAGGTCCTGCAGTAGATAGAGTGTTGGCTGCCAAAGTTTAAATCTCATCTCTGCTGCATACAGGTGATCATATTCATGAACTTAACCTCTCAAAATCTTGATTTCTCATGTTTAAAGACATTATTTTTGTGTGTTAAAAAATGCTTAAAACAGTGGCTAGCACCTAATAATCATCCATCAAATGTCAATACTTTTCTCTCCCACCCCCTTATGTGTGTGGGTAGCGTTTCTATTTTCTTACCTTCCTGGCCCCAGAAGTGTAACTGCTA